CCACGGAAAACTCCGTGGTGTCCCCGAGTTCCCCCGGGGAACCGGTCTATGTCGCTGGCCCGGGGAGAGGCATCCCGGGCACTGGACTCCAGCCCCCTACTCCCGCCCCACCCCCCATTTCTGAGAGGTGAACCGGTTTCGGGGGTCCCTGGCCTCCGACCTCCAGGGCACCGCCAGGAGCGCCGCCACGCGGGGGGCCGCGTGGAAGGAGTAAGGTCACCGCCGTCGCGACTCGACAGGACCCCTCCCCCACGGCAGCCAGCAATGCTCCTCCGCCCGGAGGATGGGTTTAGGGATGACGCGATCCCCATCCCCCGGGCTCGCCCCGGGGGACCCGGCCCTAAGCTCGGAATATGTCCGAGCGGCCCGGATCCCTCCCGCCACCCCGGGTACTGTGAGGGTCCCAAACTTCACGGTGTGTAGACCCGAGTGTGGCCTGTCCCTTCGGGCTGCCGGAGCACCGGCGTGCAATGCCCTAGGGGACGGAAGCCTCCCACAGGGTGGAGTCCTGTCCCCCCGACTGCCGGAGCATCGGCGTGCAATGTCGGAGGGACGGTGTCCCCACTACACCTAAAAATAGTCGAAAGTGGCCGACTGGCCACCCCGCCATAACATCCCTGGGTGCTCTTAGTCCAGTCCCTCCGTGCAGACCACTCCGGCATGGTAAAATCTACCAGGGGCCGAAGCTCCCGCCGGCACAGCTCTGCACTTCGTCGGCACCTTCAAGCCTCCCCACCACGACAAGGTGGCATGCGCTGCCCGGCCCGTAATTTGATGACGACGGGCGGGGGGGTGCCGGGACAATACGCCCCCATCCGCCATTCCCCAGCTCCGAGTACTGGGGGAGTTGTACTCCTTTTCGACATATCTCCATAAAAGTAGGTGTTTTACGTGCCCCTACAACACGGGTTTGATTTCGGGGTTTTCCTTCCCCTAGACCGGTTGCCTTCACCAGGTTAACGAGCCCGCTCTGCCCGCGCTGTAGGGTCCTTTGGGCCTCTCGAAAGAGACCCTCCAGACCCTGGTTAAAACCTGGAGGCAGCTGCCCATCCAGGAGTATTATGGACGCTTATAGTTTGGCCCCTCCGTACAGACTACTCCGGCATGGTAGAACCTACTAGGGGCCGAAGCCCCCGCCGGCACAGCTCTGTACATCATCGGGACACGCAAGCTCCCCCACCACGGCAAGGCGGCGTCCACGGGGGAGACATACCAACTCCATTTTTTTTTTGGTAACGCAGGGGAAATCCATCATGGATACCCCCTCCCCTTTGGGGGGGAGGGAGTTATGTCGGACTCTTACCGACTAAAACCCCTGCGGGATATCTACCTGTCGGGCCGTTGGGTGGGGAGTTGGGGGAACTGCTCCCGCATTCCCTCCTCAGCCCCCCGGCCCTAGGGCTCTCCGGGAGCCCCACGCCATCAACGTACCGCGCCCTGTCCCACAGAGGGAGTCCAGGGCGCGGTCCCCGGTGGGTTGCCCCACCGGATCTGGGGAAACCTAGTCCCCCCCGCCCGGACGGTGGCGGGCCCGAGGCGACCGAGAAGTCCCTGACCCGTCGCTATCGACGGGCGAGTCCTCCCCGGCCGACGCCACCTCGGGTCCGCTGCCGATTCCTCCTTCCGGGGATCGTCGACCAGTGCGTCGCCTGTTGCGACGCACTCCCGGTCGATGTCCCCACTCCGCGGCCTCTTTCTACGAGATAACCTCTCTGCAGAAGGAGGCCGCTGCGTCCCACGCTTCCTTGCTCCCGCACATGGCCTTGACCATGCGCGGGAGCGAGAGCTCCCCCCTTCGGCACCTCACCGCCCCCTCGAGGACACGGCGCTCCCCGTCCCATGCCGAGCATGCGGACAGGGTGTGATGCGCCGTGTCCTCGAGAATAGGGCAGTGGTGGCATCGAGTGGTGGGCTCCTTTCTTATCTGGTGCAGATACCGACCGAAGTAACCGTGCCCGGTCAGCATCTGCACCAGGTGGAAAGTCATTCCACGTCCCCTCCTGCCCGCCGTCATCTCAAACAGGCAGGGGCGGACAGCCGCGGCCGTCTTGGGACCGGACACCTTCGGATCGGACAACGCGTCCTTCCACTTCCGAAGGGTCCGGTCTCTGGCCTGGAGTTTCAGGCCCTTCAAGTCCCTGGCCCTTAGCGTCCCCTCCGCGCGGAGCTCCTTCACCCGCCAATAGAGGACTGACCTCTCTTCGGCAAAGAGCTCCACGGGAGGGACGCCGGCCAGGGTGGTCGCCACATACCAACTCCATAGGGGCGTAGAGCTAAGCGAGAGGAATAAAAAAGTCCCTTTCCATTTAGCGATATCTCGTATAATTTTTTAATAATAACCGCAATTTGAAATATTGCTACAACATTGCAGATATAATAATGCAAAATATTGTTTTTGCAATGTCTTTGCAATATTGCACTGCAATGTGCAATGTTGCAACATTACAGCAATATTGCTGCAATTGTCTGTGCTATATAGGTTAACTTACGATATCTCGCTAACTATTCGTCGAAAGAAAAAATAGTATTAGATTAGATTAGATAGATTAGAAAAATAGACTTTTTACTTTATTTACTATTAAGAATATATTATATAATAGTGCCCTAACTTTTATTGATTTAATAATTTTGAAATTTCCAAAGGTCGATAAGTATAAATTAAATGTTGAAAAAGTTGCCAAGTTGTCCTTAAATATCTCAAAAAATATTAAGGAAATAAAAAAATAATTCAAACGAAAGTTGTTAAAATTAATTGGTAGGAAAAAGATATAATGAAAAATTGGCCTTTCCATTAAAAAAAATTAAGTTGACCTTCAACTGACCTTGAAAATGCCTTCCAAATAAAAAACTGATAATGTCATTCTCTTTCCTCTTCGAAATCACGGAACACCATCATGTTTTAGCTTTTTTTAATATCTTTCATAGTTTTCGAGATTTTTTACCTGTTACGTTTGAAATTTATTACCCTGTATAGTGCCAACAATGTGCCTACAACCCTGTACAAAATGCTTCAGTATGTTTACAAATATACAAAATCTGTTTTGACATGACAACAACTTCGATATTTCGGCCAGCGCCTCAATTCGTATATTCATTTAATTGGTACGTCCTGCGGACTCCGCGCACTCTAGACTTCTTTTATAAATAAGGGAAATTGAATTTATTATTACTTATTATATGGCCGGATGCGCTCAGGCATGTTACCACACGCGCGATCTCTGGAAGTTTCGATGCTCCGGAAATATTAACAATCTTGAACCAACTCCGATCTTGTTTCCCACGCGCTTAGTCAACGATAACAGTATCGCGACATCCTTCTTAGAAATATTGATATTTCCTTCTTAAAATTGCTGCCACGTGTTTTTTCAAACAAAAGACTCTCGAAATCCTCTTATTGCCATATGCATCCTATCTCCTACAAAATTATCTTAAAGACACTGCAACGTATTCTTAACCCCCACCTCTAAAAAACATTCGAAGCACAGTCCTATGACCATATTTGGGCATGAAAATTAGATTTCCGAAACAATTCCCTAAAACCCCACTCTCTCAACCGAGCTGACGTTTTGAGAAAAACCAAAAGGCCAAGACACTTCTCGACCGACCCGCAGCCAGGACAGAAACTTCTTTTCAGTACCCCTTCAGGGTCTCCTAACAATCTAGCCTACTAGTGGCTTAGATAGATCAATGTTTCTCCAGTCGTTAATTATTCTGTGCAACGATCTCGTGCATTTTTGGACCATCGTGAGCAATCCAGCGGAAACCAGCTTCCTATTCTTGGCGCAAACTTGGGTCATCCGCCCTCACCGACACGCAGCAATTACACTCCTCATTTTCGACCAATAGTACAGAACGAGCAATAAGTTATTTATACCTTCTTTTGCCTGAGTGACCCCTTTCTTTTCACTTTTCTTCTTTTCTTCTCTCCCTTTTCTTTTCCTTTCCTTTTTCTTTCTTTTTGTTTGTCCCTTGGCATGCCTCCTTAATTGTGAAATCCGGTGTCAGTAGCCCAATCTTTTCGATCACAGTCGGACATAACGAATACGGAATTTTGCTCAAACTGTAATTGTTCATACATATATGTATACGTACACATTATAAAATCTTACAAATTTTATTTCATTGTGAACTTCCGTCAAATCATCAATAAAACAAGTTATTTGTAATTGTAAGCCAATCACGTTTTCCAACTAATTATTCTCAACAAAAAATTCTCCCTTCCCTCAACTATCGCTCACGGTCCTATCCCAGGTAAAAGGATTCAGTTCCTTGACCTAAATAAAGGACCACCGACGTACGTCCGCGCCAGATAAAAGGGTCATCCCGATCCTTGATCTGCACCGCAAACTTGCGAGTACATCGGAGCTTGTGAAAGCAAGCGTCAAGTTGCGTTCCTCTTCCAGAACGTAACATAATCATTGCTCCTAATTTTGTTATGTCATTTAGTTTTTGTGCTTTTATACAAGAAAACTCTTCCGAACTTTTGTAGGACTGTAAATCTTGCATATAGCATGATATGGCTGCGAAACTAATTATGAAAAAACTTACATTTAGCTTGAAAGTACCATCTTACAAGAAAAGGGTCTGACGTGTAAATATAATTTTTAGCTGTATCTCGTAGCAGTAGGTATTCATGCACATTAGTATTAGGTAAAAGTATGAGTAAGAAAATTTGTTTCGCGAGAAAATGAAAGATAAAAAATTCAGAAGGCCTTATAACCAATTTAAGTAAAAGTTTTTAAGTAAACCAATTTAAGTAAAAATTTAAATTCAAGGAATGAAGTTAACACGTCAAACTATCAATATGAAAAAAACAAGTAGAGTTCTAATAGCACTTTTGATAGTTCTCCAATTCCTCTATAACAAAAAAAAATAGTTTTGCAACAATAACCTATTAGACTATATATATATAGTAGATATATAGTAAATTAGATTCTATTATAATATGAGTTTAGTTAATCGCACAGCCCTAGTTCCAATATAGTGTCCTGTGACTGAAATATAAATAAATATACTGCATTGTATTTGTGAATTGGCAATGTTTGTAAAAATAACACATTTGCAAAATAAGAAAGTTTTATCTAAAATTTATCCTATATTTATACAATATAAAATGATTAATATTTGGTTACATATTACGAAGTTAATTGATACCTGGATAGTTGTTTTGTTGTGATATGTGCTACTCTTGCAACTTCTTGGAAGTTCCTTCTTTAATTCTTTAACTGGAAATATTACTCAAAGAGTTAATATTTTTGACAAGCTAATATCTTTGAATAAAATGCATATTACTAATATCTTTAGATAAAAGGAAGGAATAAATCTCTTATAATGATTATCTTGAAAATAGAATCTCATAATTCTTCATGAAAAAAATAATGTACTAAGGATGTAGAGATGACACATATTTATCTCTGAAACTTTATGTTTAAGATGATTTTTTTAACTTTTTTAACTTTAATATATATATATATATATTACTATACTACTATATAGAAACCTTCATATTTATTAATTAAGCCCAAAATTATCCTGCATACATAATTGTATAAAAGATAACGTACTTACTTCGATCATTCAACAACATGTTCTCACCTACAAGTTGAGTAATACGTTGATGTACGGCAGTTTCTTCCCTCATCTTTTGAATATACTCTATTGTCTTCGTTAGGATTACTGCTCTACTTGCTTTTCCTTTTAGTATAGTTGGTACATTATTTTTCAAATGAAAAAAAACCATTTTCAAATCATCTCGTCGTTTCCTTTCCAAATAATTATGATGTTCCCTTTTTTCTGTCTGTACAAATAAGTTCACAATATTGACACATTGATTGTTATAAGGATAATTAGTTATTGGACACTATTATATTATTACAGTTGATTAATTTATATGCAAAACAACCAATTACATATAAATATATATCCAATAGAAAAACATAAATTAAAGATTATATGCATGAATAAACATATATCAAAGTTAAAAACTGTCAACATATACTCTGCTTTTTATTGATTTCTTGATTATAGTTAATTAGATTAAAAGCACATAATTGATGCTTAATTTTTCAAAATTAAGAAACAGAATATTTAGCTATTATACTGGATAATATTTGGATCAAAGAAATTCAATGTAGCATTGATTTTTATATAGTGGCAATGTACCCATCCAAATCTAAAAACTTCAGGTTGAGTACATTACATTATAATCTCACAATAAGGTTCAAACAAGGAAGAGAATAAAGCGGCGAAATATCTGTTTAGCAAAAGCGATCATAGACTCAATCACTCACGGCGAAAAAGATTCTAAAATGATTATAGGCTGAATCTCACCTGAGAACGATATTGTGTTTTATTAGAGCTCCTCCCAGATCTAGATTTTGTATCCTGTGAAATAAGAGATTGAATCACAAAAAAGGTTCTCCGACAAAGTTATGCGATCCCTATAATATTGTTACTTACATTGTTTTCGACATTTTCCACGTTTTCGTCATTGTTGTCAATTATTAGATATTTATTTTCGGAATGCCAATTTACACTTTTGGCATCAATATCGCGATCGTTACCACTCATGTTGTCTATATGATCACAAACAAATTAATAAAACAATCCTACGCAACAGTGACAATATACATTACTAACGATGCAAGAAGAAATAAGCTCAAATGCATGGAAAAAGTTTATTCATTCATTCAATATATGGCTCTGAGCAGAGTTATTACACTCCTTTTCTTACGTAAATCAGAACGATTTTGAAAATAAAAGAGAAACGGGAACAACGCGTACGCAGTCTCCAAGATCAAAAATATGCGTAGTTACAGGAACCAACGGGAACCACATCCAACTGCTGTGGAAGCGAACAAAAAACTCATGGAAAAAGTTGAAACAGAGAAAATGAAACAATAGATCTGTTCTTTACAGCTGCACTGCTGAACTAGTGCAATAAGTTAGAATGAGAAAAAATATACTTGTCTCATTTTAACTTGTTGCATTAGTTCAGCAGTGCAGCTATAAAGATCAGACCCAATGGCTGCGTTCCGATATTCACTGCTAGCAGAGAGAAACCTGAGAGCGGAGATCAGCAAAGGTTCAGAAATTTTTATGAATTCGACACGCCCCCTGAGAAAATAGATGTCAACTACGTCGCTCGGTAACGAGGTATGTTTGTGATAGTTTGGTTCATATCTAAGCTACTACACAGAATATAGTAAAAATATACAGAAAACTACACAGAATATAGTAAAAATTATATATATATCATCAGGAGGAATCATCCCAGCAAACACAATAGGCCTGTTCATTTTGACTGCACTGATGAACTGGTGCAACAAATTGAAGTGAGAAAACCTACGTTTGTCTCACTTTAACTTAATGCACCAGTTCAGCAATAATGCAGACAAAACGAACAGCCCTAATATTACATGTAACGTGCATGTTAGTTGTAATTTTCTACTTAACAATATAACTGTTATATAACACATGTGTTATATAATAGTTATGAACTAAGATCTTTATCAGTTTTCTTTTAGTATGTATAACAGTCAAAATCTGATGAGCAAAATAATTATTCGATAGAATTATAAATAAGATCATCGAATTTGAAATACCGGGCGGAGCCCCTCTCTCGCTCATATGTACTGTTTCCTATATTTAAAGTAAATGAAAACTGCTTGTCTACTTCAAATATACTTCAACATACAATTATAAAACTTTAAAATCAAATATCTCAGAAACTATAAGCGACTCCCATATAATTGTATTAGGAAAAGTCATTCAGAATTTCATCCTTTATAACATATTTCAAAATGAAAAAAATCGGTGAGGTGTACCCTTTTCTATATATTTATCCTGCTTTTTTTCCTTTTTTCATTTTTCTCTTTATTTTGTCATTTTTAGTTTCTTATTTGTTACATATTTTTTCTCACGTATCTAAAATTATTTCTTGCACTGCATTGCAAATAAAAATATAAAGACTATGTTGACTCCAGAAGATATGCTTTTACAACAGGTGCATGTATAAAGATTGTCAGAATGGAAAATTGACTGGAAAACGATTATTCAAATTCCCAATGCAGAAGGATGCAAGATACAATACATGGATGCAGGTGGGTAATACAGGTGGGTCCTTCTGCAATAATTATTTTCTACATAGAGGAAATGCGGATAATAGTACACATTTGTTATATTTTAATTAATTGTACACTGTAACGATACGACATACTTCAAACTAACACTGAATATGAAGTGTTATCTGCTGTGTAGTGACACTATAAAATTGAAATTGATATAGTTGAATTAATAGTGCTTCAAATAATTAACAATGTGAAATGCTGCAAATGCGTACTCTTGGACAACCTATGAGATAAGAGTACGCACACGAAGTACAAGAATACGCATTTTTAATTCTGTTAATTAAATTAATGAAATTGATTAAATGTCATCCTGACTTACTGCGGTTATAAATCCTCACCGTTCTATATTTTTGCGCTTGTATTTTGATGTCTAAAACTAAAGGGAGCCGCCGAACTTCTTAGATCTAATGACGATATCGATATCGCGCGACGCGTAAGCGATACGCGAAGATGACCGGCCGGTCAACGACATATATGCTGCGGCGGCTACTCACAAGGAGAGTGTCACAACTGTCCCTCAACGATTTGAATGGGCTTCGGATATATTGTAGAGCATCCAAAACTAAGGAATACATATTTTTTTATATCGGCTTCGGAGCATGTTTAGGGGGTAAAACCACCCCTTAAAAAAAATAGCCGTTATCGTTTTTATCAAATATTTTCTAAATTATGAGTCATATGAAAAAAAGTTTCAGACAAAAGTTTTGCAATATTTTATGCTCTTTGCAACCATATGTTCAGTTTTTTAAAATTTCAAATGTTGAACTACTCCCCCCCTTCGCGTTACTCTGGCAAAATTTTTAAGTTTTTGTAAGGACAAAAATTGTAGAGCATTAAATACCAAATCCATCCATATATAATATTAGAAAATGGTATTTAATATTTTGGACAAAACGCAATAAGAAAACTTCATGGTATACCAGGTATGTAAATATGAAACCGGAATTTTTGTATAGAAAATACACGTTTATTGTATGAAAATGATAAAAAATATTTTATTCGAATTATTGCCCATCGCTAGCTATACATTTTTCCCACCTGTCTGACAATTTGTGGATGCCATGCCAAAAAAACTGTTGCTCTTTTGAGGCAAATCAGTCATCAAGCCATTTTCGTACATTTTCGTAAGAAGTGAAGCGCTGCTCAGCAAGTGCGTGTCCCATCGATGCAAATAAGTAGTAATCGAATGGAGCCAAGTCTGGTGAGTAAGCCGCATGCGAAAATATTTCCCAACTAAACGCCTCAATCGTTTCCTTGACCAGTTTTGCTGTGTGTGATGGTGCATTATCATGAAGCAAAATCACTTTGTGTTGCCTTTTTTGATATTCTGGTCGTTTTTCACGCAAAGCTTGATTCAAATCGATCATTTGTTGTCGGTAGCGTTCAGTATGAACGGTTTCGCCAGGTTTTAACAGCTCATAACAAATCACACCCTTCTGATCCCACCAAACACAGAGCATTGTCTTCCGTCCATAGCGATTTGGCCTTGCAGTCGATGTCGATGGTTCGCCTGGAGTTACCCATGATCTTTTATGCTTAGGATTCTCAAAATACATCCACTTTTCATCGCCAGTCACAATTCGATGGAGAAATGACTTTCTTTTGTACCTGGCGAGCAGCATTTCGCAAGTAGTTTTTCGGTTTTCCTGCTGTCTTTCATTCAATTCATGTGGAACCCATTTTCCCATCTTCTGGATCTTTCCCATGGCTTTCAAACGTACGGAGACGGCTTCTCGTGTCACATTTTATTGATCCGCGAGTTGTTGTTGCGTTGAGCGTCATCCTCATCCAACAATGCTTGCAATTCGCTGTCTTCAAAGTTTTTCGGTGGTCTTCCACGTTCGTCGTTTCTCACATAAAAATCGCCACGTTTAAATTTTTTAAATCACTCAAAGCACTGTGATTTACCAAGAATATGCTCACCGTAAGCTTCGACAAGCATTCGATGCAATTCTGAAACAGTTTTCTTCAAATGATAACAGAAAATCAATGCTGTCCGCAAATCGTAGCTTCCAGGCACAAAATTCGACATATTCAATGCTATTACAAACTATGCTGTTGTATGAAACTTGTATTGTTGTGAGTTGAAAATCTTTGTCAGATGTTAACAAATGGAAATGGCGCCAATGACGCGGTTTGACGGTAACTACATTGATAGCTAGGGCCATCTATGGGCAAATTTCGGTTTCATATTTACAGACCTGGGCCTCAATTCTGTACACGCTTACCGACAACTATCGATGTCGTTAACTGTATTGCGCAGCTTTTGTATATCGTAGAAAACCTGCGCAACTCCGTTAACGATATCGATAGTAGTCGGTAAGCGTGTACAGAATTGAGGCCCTGGTATGTACCGCTCTGCCCGAGTAGATAGATACTGTAGGTAGATACGCTGTGATATTTCTCTACAATTGCACTATGCTTCATGACTGCTTGTGCATATTTTCTTATGCTACAATTAATCGTAATGATATGATATACAATATTACACGAAATAAAAATGCTTGATGAAAACGTGAACAATAAAATAATTTGCATATATAACAGTAGCAAATGTGTGTGCAGCATCGCTATTTGTACAAAAGCTCCAAATGTATATTTTCTTCATTTAATGTGTAAAAATTTATGTTCACTACAATCTGAAAGGCATGTCGATTAAGGATAATTAAAATGATTAAAAAAGTATTTCATGCAATGCACGTGAAATAATGAAACACATTATCATCAGCCTAATTAGAAAACCTCCTAACCTCCTAACTTCAATTTTTGACAAATTAAGATACTCATTTTGTTCGATTTATCTCGTCGACTCTTGATCGATAAATAGTCTCAATTTTGTCAAAATTGGAATAAGAGGTTTTCTAATTAGGCCGACGTTATGTTACCTCTGCAAGCGTGTAGTGTGACAATACAATATTTTTATTAATTGCTGAATGAAACATAACGAAGAGCTTCAAAAATTATGTGAGTAATAATATTTATTAGGATAGAGAGGAACAATATAATAATTATAGAAGAATAACACGTATTATATATATTTCACAATAGTAATAAACAAATCAATACAGTATTTGCATATAAACGAAAAATAATGTTACA